AGAGTTCAAGAGTTCATTGTGTGTGATAATCAGATCTATAGAGATTAGAAATGCATGTGCATCTTAGAGTCAACTGTATTAAAAATGAATTTTTTCTGTATGAAACTGTGTATTTTAATCATGAAATGGAGATCTTTTTTAAAGTTTAAAACCTCATTTAATTGTATGTCTTATAGGTTTATACGGAGTACAATATTGTATAACTGTATTAATTCAATCATAAACCTAAAATTTTACAGCAATTTTTAAAGAGATGCATCTTAGCTCTGGAAATTGTTATTGAATATGTCAATGCTGTTGTAATGAAATGCTTCTTCTAATTATCTGGTTATTAAATAAATAATTAAAAAAACAAAAAAAGTTCTTTCCTAGGGCGGTGTCATGAAGCACTTTCCCTGTTTCTTTCTAGTTGGTGGCCATTACACAAGGTAACTTCTTGTGTTCTACTGTGGGTAATTATGGCTAATCGTTCTGCCCTAGACATTTCAAAACAGCTAAAGACGGTTTTGAACATTTTCACCACAGAGATGATAAATGCAAAAGGTGTAGATGTAAAAAACATCCTGACCTGATTACCAGATAATGTATCCATATATCAGAACAAACACACTTTCCCCCATATATATGCATAATGACGCCATGTCACGTGAAAAACAAAATTTAAAAAAACAAAGAAAAAGATTGAGAAGAGGTTCCAAGTCAACAGACTCAGTGACCAGTGGCTAGATGGGGTTTTCAGGGCATGTGGAGCCCATGAGTGGCAGACAAGGAAGGACTAGATCCTACTTTGTTAAGACTTTAAAGAAAGGGGCTGGAGAGATGGCTCAGTGGTTAAGAACACTGACTGTCCTTGCAGAAGACCCGGGTTTGAATCCCAAGACCCACATGGCAACTAACAACTGTCTGTAACTCCAGTTCCAGGGGATCTGACAGCCTCTTCTGTTCTCCACGGGCATTGCAAGACACAGGTGCACTTGCCTACATGCAGGCAATACATGCATACACATAAAATAAAAATAAATCAAATATTTTTAAAAAACAGACTCTAAAGAAAACCTTTGGAACTTTGCTTTCTACTATGTGCAGAAATGTGTAGAATATGCCCAAGGAAAGCCCAGAGCAACACGTCCCCCTTACCTTTCCTTTAAGCTGACTGTGAATGTACATTAGGATCATTCGTGGAATCTTGACTAATGTGATAATGAATGATCCTTTTGCCACAGTACCAAGGTGGTAGCGAATAAGGCGATTCACTGATGCCAGAATAGGTGTGAATGGCAAATTCCTTTTATCCCTAATTAGAAAATGATCAAAAAGATAATTAAGGTGAAGCCTAAATCAGAATGAAAACAATGGTAAGGTTTGCTGGCCAGTGAGATGAAACCTCACCGAATTACACTTATTCTAGCTTTATGACAAAATTCTAGCAGTGAGTGAACTACTCTGAGAGCTGTGGATACATAAATGTGCTTCATTTCCCATGGTAGAACCATGAGGTTCTCAGGTTCTGCAACTTCAGGTAAAAATGCCTAAAAGTTCTTATCAATGAATACTTAAGGAGTTTACTATATGATCAGAAAAAAAAAAGAATTATTAAAAAGTTCAATCTAGAGCTGGCAGTTCATTACAAGAGTTGTACTGCTTGGTCTTTTAATACTCAGTCCCAATTTAATAGAGGGGTTTCCCAGGTTCTTCCAAGATTGTCCCCCAATGGACATTTACAGAACACCAAAGGACACTTGACACTTTCTAAGGCAGACTTTTCTACTAAAGGTAATTTAAGTTACATCATGGTCTGCTATCCTCAAGCACATCAAGACAATTCAGGAACGTGCGAGGGATGGAAAACAATCTCATTTCCCACCTCCCAAGATTATGAACCCTAACATTTTGTCACATTCATTTTCAACTCTTCTTTTCTCATAGAAGTGAAACAGTTCCAGCCTCAGCCCCGCTCTCTTCTCCCCTGCAGACATGATCTATCTCTTGGATGAACTTGAGTTTTCTCATAGAGACAAAGTCTCACCTAGTAAAATAGTATGTTACCACAGCTCCTGCCACAGTCATCTGCTGACACGCAAGAATAAATTCACTGATCCAAATCAGGCCGACCACATGGTACCACCACATGTACTGCAGAGGTCCAGAAATTTTGTACTCCACAAAGCCTTGGTCATTCTGAACAGCACTGCCTGGGAAAACGTCAAGGAAGGGAAAAAACAGCACTTAAAAGTAGAAACCAAGAAACATGGCATCTGACTACAAGAGATTAGCTGGGGTCCTACAGCACGTGCCCAGTCCCAAAGCACAAGCATGCCACACTCTTAGTGGGATTTCATTAAGGGACGACAAATAATTATCACTTAAAAAGTCGTGAAATTAAACATTATACAATTACACATTTTGATCTCCTCAAAGGCATCAAAGAAAGTGTTGAAGTTGCTCTATTTGAATACAGTTCTAATAACATTATCAGTTATTTAGGCATGGATTTTCAAACACTTCCGTGGGTTTTTTTTTCTCTTAAACAGAGTTTTTATTTATCCTGTAGTTATATAGCTAAACTATGAGCTAAGCACAGAAAGCAATGTTATGTTCATTTAGTGAGTATGGGCTCACTACACAGAGATGTTTCATACAAGCATTATCCTTCTACTTGGTACTCATAATTAATTCTTTAGTCTTAACATTTGATATGGAGTCCAGCTATCAGTAAATCAGAATCTGCCTATGAATGGACTTATCTGTAGGTGCACTAGCAAGATTCAGTAAGGTTCCAAATTAGAGAATCCCAAGAAGCAAGCTGACCCAGGATTACAGATGGGCTGTTAGCAACTCGAGAGGCTCTAAACTCATTAGTGCACTTCAGAATGCATCCAGATGTCTGAGTCAATTAAGAACTCACTTCAAAATCCACGACCATCTCAAAACTAAGAAGCAGTTTTAGCTCTTAGCTGGGCTAGACCTACATTGCTAAGATCTGCTAAAATCATGAACAGGGAGTGAGTTATTCAAGAACACCACTGCTACATATAAGGGGTCAAGAAATGTCTGAAGAATTCTCTCTCTCTGGGATGTGTGTAGTAGTGGTGGGGGGGTGCGGGAGATGAAGTTCAGGCCTGTACAAATGCTGGGTTCAACACTCTACCATTGACTCACACCCCCAACCCTCTCTTGGTGTCTTAGATGCTGCCTATCTTCTTACCAGTGGTACCAAGAAAAAGAAGTGTCATGATCCAGTACGCCCAAAACAAGAGAAGAGCAAAGAACGTCCAGAAGGGCTGGAAGACTAGCAGCGGCAGGTGTATGAAGACCTTGCCAGCCACGTGGAACAAGGCGATGGTGAGAGCTACACGCTTGCGCATAACCAGCATTATCAGGAACAAAATAACCTGAGTGGAGAGTGTGAAAGGAAAGGGTCCAGTTATTTCTCAAAGCATTGAAAACAGAAACTACAAAGTGTTAGAAAGAGCTGGACATTTCTAGAACACCCTTCGACACCAAACTTAGAAGCACTAGTCTATATATAATAACAACATTTTTAGTCTGTGCTTCTTGTAAAATTTATCATTTTCAGTTGTGTCACGGTTACTAATGTCATTTAAGGTTAAATGTAAAGGAACGTCTCGATTTATTAAGACAGAAATTTTCAATTTTTCCCTTCACCACTAATTACCAATCAAAATGTGTTGTTTGTCAGGACAAGACCCCTCATTTGCATAGACAGATGCCTGTCACTCTGAAAACGGGTGAGAGAGCTATATGCCATCACCCCAAAGCATGGGGGCATTTATTTGTATTTCATGTCCTTTACTAGAACTCCTTAAGTGGAGTTTGTAGCAGAATAACACTTGGACTCCTCACCATCTCCATCTTCTCCCCAAGAACCTAGCAGAGGGAATTGTACTTAAAGCATGATTAACAAGTATCTTTAGGGCCTGACACTTTTATTGTGGCACTATTATTGATGTTCAAAAAAAGGTTGAGATCACTCCCCCAAATGGATAGGTTTCTCTCTTTCTTCTCCTTCCTTCCTTCCTTCCTTCCTTCCTTCCTTCCTTCCTTC